GATGAATATACAGATCTGGATCGGGAAGTATTTGATAAAGAACAAATGAAAAATAAAACACAAAAGAAGAAAAGCAACATAAAAATATTAACAAAAATAAACTGAAACATAGTATTTTTGTTTTTAATTGTAATATAATCTCGTAACAAATTATATCTGCGTATTTAGTACATATACACTCAACAACAAAATTAAATCACTAAAGGTCCATTTGTCCATTTTGGGCCATTCGTGAATAGTAAAGAAACCCAATTAAGTATATTATTAAAATAAAAAATTCAAAATATCTCCAAAATTATAGGAGATAGAAAGGTGGTTTTTGATAACTTTTTAACTCTTTAAGATGCACTATTTGATCCCCGATTGTCGATCAAAAAATGTAATCATTATTCATTATAGAAATGTAACGCTTCTTAGTAGTTTTGTAACTCTGACGATCCTTTCAACAATTATGATAATTTATTCTTTATTCTTCCAACACTCTTCTATTAATCGATGTGTGACTTATTCGCTCATGGCCCAAAACCACATATAAAGATGGGCAATGTCCTTTTTATAAAAAAAATACTGATCTTTGAAACTGTTATAATTTTGCGAAAAAAAATCATGCAACAATTTTTCTGGGATTGTTTTAAAGGGCAAAGTTTTTATTTTCACCTCCATTAATCGATTTTCCTCGAAAATGCTTTCGCACTAGAAAACAGGGTGGAAAATTCAAACAAAATTTAAATTTCGAAAATTTTGCAAATTTAAACGACCCTATGGAGTTGCAAAAATTGTTCTATATACATATTTTTGCGTAGGCTTTTTGCAATTATCTCGCGATTTTTATGTTTTTTCAATGTAAAAACAGATTCCTTTTATAATTCTCTTCATAATATAAGCACAAGTTGGCATAAGTATCTGAGCAGAAGAAACCGCCGGATGGAGGGAGAAGGGGAGCGAAAGTAAACCCTGGATCTACAGCTCGAAAGGCAATGAAAGCCATTGATCCTAGCCAACAAGGAGGCAATCGCTCGCTCGAATGATCAATAAAGAGAGAATAAAAGGACTCGTCCGCAAGCCGACTTACCTACACGTTTCAGCGACGATGTAACGAAGATCACTAAACGCTCAATCGACCGATCGATCGAGGATTGAAGGATCCGGGGAAAATCCTCGTGTCAAAGTACCGTTGTTGTCAAAAAAAAAAAAAAAATACTGCGGAGTTACATAGATTACAAACTGAATCGAATCGAATTACTATGTAACATTAATAAAACATCAATTAGAAAAAAATTGAAAAAATGATATAGTAAATATATTACGGATTCAAACATGATTATCTATGTTTCAAACAATTAATTTAATTGACTCGAAGAATACAACAATTACTCTTTGCAAGACAGATAAAGATATACTTAAAAAAATTAATAAAAATTGATTTGATAAATATGTAAATTAAATATCACTAAAATTAGATTATGGAATTGTTGTAGTTTTCTCATTTCTTTTTATTCCTATTTGTTCATTCAGTTTTACACAAACAAATTCCTCACACAATTCATCCAAACTCACCTATTTTTCTCAAAGAAAGCGCAAAATGTAAATCTTGCGAAATAAGCCCGTATTTCTTTTTCGGCATTGTCAGCTTCGCCGCAACTTTGCCAGCGATAATCTCAAAAGCGATCTTTGCGCACGCGATTGGTAGTTGTACTGCCATCTGCGCAAACGATTAAACAGGCCCACAGACCGGCTACCGTATGCTCTACAAACATTTTGACATTCATTCACGTTACGTGAAAGAGCATCTTTCACGGTCCTCGACATCGAAAGGGGCGAATGCAAGACGTTTTGTGCATCGGCACTCGCCGGTCTCATCACACTTTCAAGAATGTTCATGGATATGCGGGCGTTTAATCCTTCACGTATGCAATTGAGAGATACACGGTTCTACTTTTCATGTATAACATGAAGAATCAAGTATAAAGTGCGTATATAATAAAAATAAAGTTGTTTCCTTTGTATCCGAGATACCGTAAAAATTCTGAGTAAAAGATCTATTCTGAAATTAAACGTAAAAACACAGCCTTACAAAGCGCGCCTTACATTTATCGAATCGAAATTAATGTGAGAAAAATAACAAATAATTCCATCACGTTCTTTCCCTGCTAGAATAATTGTTCCGCTAAAATATTATTTGACGGAACCGTCTCAAAGCTAGTAGAATTCGATCAAGTAGTCTTGTGAATTAGCTATTGGTTATAAAAACCAAGAGCAAGTTAGAAAACTTGTGTAATAGCAATGCAATCTGAAAATCAAGTTCATGACAAACCACGTGCGCACGGCCAACGCACCACGGTCAATCATAGCGTGCCATATACAAATTATACGTTACGAAAAATCTTAAAATTCTAGGAGGTAAAAATTTCGAGAGAAAGTTCTATCCCCGCAAATATAAAACTAACCGCCCGCCGAAAAGTAGGGAAAACTGGGATCATGTAACAATGGGTCAGTTATAGCAGTGCAATTATTTCACAAACTATTATAGATATTTATGTATATGTCATATGAAGAGACATTCGTTTATCAACTCTTGACATGTTCGTTAGTATCCAAGCGTACGCAAACAAATGAGCCAGATGTATGCAGGAGAACTTATTGCTATTTTCCAAAATAAGTTTTTACAAGTGCAGTAGACCTCTGTACAACACGGGTTCGTACAACACGATAGAAAAATTGTGCCTCGTATAACACGATAAAACGGGCACTTGCAACGCGATAAATAAGTTTACATTTTCACATTCTTTCCGTATAAAAGCTACATTTTTAAAATATTTACTTTACATTTTTTATAATAAAAACTGTTACATCTTTTATAAATATGTGTTTTTACATGTATACATAATCTATATATGTATAACCTATGTGACTCGTATAACATGGATTTGTATAACACGAAATGTATCCCCCGTGTTATACAGGGGTCTACTATACAATACATCTTTGTTATTTTGATTTTGGTGCTACGAATGTATAATATTATTTCACAATATTTTTCTTCAGACATTTGAGATTGTATTATTGTTGTTTTTGATACAATTTGTTCAAGAAAAAAACCGAATTTTTTGTCTCAAATGTGAAAAAGCCATTAGAGAACAGTTTTGTAATAGTTTGTCCCGGGGACAGTTGTAACAACAGTTTACCTCGAGAAGGATTCTAATAATTTGCCACGATGACAATAAGTTGTAAAGTTAACTAATTCTAATATTGTAGTTTTATTTTGTTTTTAATTTTTTTAAATTTCTTTCTCGTGATTTGTTACCTAACTAAGAAGTTTTATCTTTAGTGCGGAAAAGATAACTTATTAATTGATGCAATTGTGAATCAGAATGATTTGTTATCTAACTAAGAAATTTTATACTTAGCGCTTATACTTATGTAAAATAACGTATTAATTATTATTATTATAAAAGACCTAATGTGATTTTCATTGATTATAAAAGGAAATTTAGCTACTTTTGTTTTTGCAGAGATTAATTTTAGTTTTTGAACATTTTTAATTAATTATTTTCTATAAGAGTACGTTTATATTCTAAGATCTCATTTAATTTTTGTTGACTTTAAAGTTAAAAAAAGATTAAAAGACTAATAAATCAATATAATCTATCTAAAAAATGTGTTACAACTTACACCATGCGCTGTTACAACTATTCTGAATATGGGATCAGTTATAACACTTTCTCTAATTTTGTTTATAAATTTATAATTTCTTTTTCTGTACATGCTAAAAAATTTAATAGGCATAATTATAGGCAATTAAATACTCTATCTTAGAATGTATGTCACTTCAAAACAAATTTTATAATAAGTTTTATAGTTTAGTAGTAGTAGACGCAAAAAGATTTATTACTGATCCCGGTCTTTTTTATTTTTTTTGCTGTCGAGTCTTAAGTATTTGTCAATTTGTTAACGTATTGTACACACGATCATGGGAATGCCTTAACACATGAATTTGTCAACGAGTGTCGAGGCACATTTGAATTGGTTTGTGAAATTCACACTCGTGCAAGTTCATGTGTTAAGGCATTCCTGTGACCGTGTGTATATACGCCGCGTCAAAATAATTACTCCACAATTCTCAACCAAATGTGCGATTTTCAAGTGTCTGAACTTGAAATTAAGATTGTGTAAGTATTTATTCATTATAAATAATTGACAAAAATAAGTTGTATATTTTTATGTTTGTGAAACAAGTTTCGGTTAATCGTCTAAAAGTTACCTGAATTCCTCCATTTCGTTTCCGACATAACCTCGCGCTAGAATAAATAAAAAACAAAAAAAATTTTTTAAATTGATGCTTATAATATTAATGCTTTATATATAGAGTTTGATTTTATTATTATCTTAAATATTATTTTATCATATATCTGTTTAAGATGTAGCTAAACCATATATATTTTTTTATTACTTCTTCATGTTCGCTATCTGCAATACGTGTATACTGTGTGGCTTATATCGCTTACGTGTAAAATAATAACACGAGCAAGCTAGAGTTTATCGAGAGCGAGATTGTTACTCTGCGCGCATCGTCATAAATCCTCGGAGGAACCGGAAACGTTTTAGCAATATAAATATGTACACGTCTGATATATAGTCTCGCGTTCTGTCTTCGACGCTCAGCTTTTTTCCACCTCCAGATCCCCTCCTGCTTTTTCCTACGCGAATATCGCCATTGCTATTCAGATATTCGAGGCTCTCTCCGCGGGGCTTTAATAAAAATATTTGCTAAGAAAACAGTTCCGTCGTGGGGGTGAATCCCTCCCCGCAAGCGCAGGGTGAGTTATTCTTATATCCAGATTCGCGGCGTATTCTTCGACAGCGATTTCCATAAATGCAATAATTCGAAATAAGACAACTTTCGGCGCTCTCTTATTTCCAACCTAGGTACGATATAGAGTTTTTCAAAACTATTCCGTTATTATCATAGCATGCTATAATAACAAAACGGAAACCGTAGCTTGATTTAAGATACTTTATTATACTTTAATAATTACGCGCAAATACATGCATCCGATATGTATAGTAGTACAATGTATGACATACAAATAGTAAACGTAATCTATTGCTATTATGTATATTTGTTTCCCAATCCTGTGAGAACGCATTCTGCGTCTTGACATATTGCCATTCTCTTAAGACGTTTCCTGAATCTGTGTCTCAATTGTTTCTTCATTGTGTACCCGATATTTATCATTTGGTATTCGTCAACGTTCAAATTGTAGGCTTCAATGAATTTCTGAAGAAAGTAATTATCCAAGAAAAAACCAAAAAATTCTCAATGAAGAAAGCTTTTAGTAAGTAGTTTAAATATTAAAACAGTAGCGTGTAAGTGTGTAGTACCTGATTATCTTCAAAGACGCAGAAAATATTATTAAAGTTTAGAGAGACACGACGAATACAACTGAACGTATTGTTTGCGGCATCCTGACATTTGCACGCCATTTCTTTTATGCATAGCTAGAAACATATATAGCGAAATTAATAGAATTCGAAAAAATAATTCTAAATATTTCAAACTTACTGTAACATTCAAATCACTGTCACTTGGACAACCGGATGATGGTACATTTTTGGATCTTTCTCCCCGATACTCTATCAAAACTGTACGATCTTGTGACAAATTGCGCTTTGTTTTAAACAATGTTGTCCCATCTGATGGATATTCCACATCAGCTATATCTAAAACTGTGGCGAAAATATCCACACTGCTGACAGGTGCGGAAATTCTAGACGGGTCAATTCCTGGACCAGATACCAATAATGGAACTCGTATATCTGTCTCGTAAGGTTGACGCTTGTCCATGGGCATACTAAATTGTCCTAGCAAAATAACGCAAAGATCCATAAAATTTTGGCAGTACAATTTAATACTGTTTTCTCTTGTACGAGATAGTATAATTGAAAGTTATATTAAGTTTTCAAATTAACGGTGAAATTTCGAGATGACACTAGCTATCAGAGATAGTTCAAACCAGTGGAGCTGTAACATACTGGAGTGAATCTTTCTTATGAAGACGCCCAGCAAACACAGAACATTGCAGTAACATTACGGCAATGTTGTAACATTGTAGCAACATTACAACAATATTGCAACATTGCTACAATGTTGCTGCTCTGTTTGCTGAGCTAATATGTAGCTTACGGTTAAAGTTACAATAAACGGGGACATCTGTCTTTTTTCCACATTTATTATTGGAGATCATTACTAGTCAATTGGAAATTTTAGAAACGAAGATAGATATTTCGTTCAAATATCTCCTCTAGTTTGGCCATCTCCACGCGTTCAAGACTCATTCCAATATGTTATATAGCTCACCGGTTCAAACGCAACAAGTAAAATCTCTAATCATTTTCAAAAACGAAACGCTTTAGTATTATTTATTATGACTTTTTGATTAAGTTTCAGTGCGTCTCCCTGTTGGTATTTCCCAACTGTTAACATTTTCGCAATTCCAGAGTGTTAAATTATTTACCAATGTGATATCCATTGTCAGACGTATAAATAAAGTAGGTGTTGTTCAGCAAGTTTCGCTCTTCCAACAACTCATGTACATTTTTAACAAGTTCGTCAACAGCTAATAAAGTTTCCCATCTCTTCCTGTATATCTTATCTAATTGCGGCAATACGCTGTCTGGTAAAGGAGATGGACCTCGTCTAACTAACCAATGTTTATCCTATTTTAAAGGTAAGACTGCATGAGAACTATCTAACATAATCATATTATTGTACAATGCTGTACCTGATTCACGGCTGTGTTAAAATTTGGAGTCCTTTTTGCTTTTGTACCATTATACTTATCATTATGTCTATCGGCGGGTGTAAAAGGAGCATGAGGGGCTGGGGGTGCTAATACCATAAGGAAAGGTTGATTTTGGGAATATCCTTTGATAAAATCCGCAGCTAGATTACTCTAAAATATATATATAGATAGTTGAAACTTTACTTTCGCTTTTATTAACAAAAATCTAATATAAGACAAACATGTAAACTCAAGTTGTTACGCTAAAAGTAACCATTTCAGCGTCGATTTACTTTAACCAATGATTAAAACTGTTGACAAAATTGCCAATACGAAAAATGAAATCGTTATGGAAAGAAAAAAAATTTTTAACTTTTTCTTTCTTGATGATAATATTTCATTCATGTTAGCATTTCCGTCGACATATTTTAATCGCCGATTAAAGTTAATCGATGCTGTCACTCTATAAAAACACTGTTAAAAACATTTTTTATACTTGTTTATATTATGTTGTATATATACTCACAATTACGTCGGTAAGATAGTCGCCTGCAGTGTTACCGTGCTTTCTTTCCGTACCATTTATCGATAACAAATAATCGTAATATTTGGAATTTCCTACAAGACCGGCCCACCAGTCCCATCCGATCGGTACATGATTCGCACCGCCAACTCTCTTGCTTCCGTACTACATTATACGCATTTATCTTACTTATTTTAATAATCATAAATGGCAAATACGAATTAAAGAAAAAAGAAATAAAATAGTAGTGAAAAGATTGGACCCCGAAATCTCACAGAAGTATTAATTTAATTATTTGCAATTTAATTATTTGAAGAGAATTTAATTTAATTATTTGCAAGCATCAAAGCAATAAATATTGTTCAGCTAATTCTAATAAAAACGAGATCTACCTCGTTCAAGTATTTTCCCGCATAAAAAGTTTTGTATCCGGCGATATTTCGCAAAAGAGCAGCAAACGTTGCCGGTTCTCTTAATTGTTGCCACTGTATGCTATTACAACCACCAGCGATAGAATTATTCACTGTCAAATGATTATGCTGGTATCGTCCAGTCAGGATGGACGCTCGATTAGGACAGCAAATGGGTGAGGCTACGAACTGAATCGTGATCATTTTCCAAAATAGCAAATCAGTAATGTTAAATAATTTTTACATTTGTAAAACTTACACAATTTGTAAACGTGATACCCTGACGTCCTATAAGATTCAGTGTATTTGTCATTGGTGTCTAAAATCATACAATAAATCGAAATGTACAAAGAAATATTAAACAATTATAGCGTTTTCGATTGAAGCAATTCAAATCTGATTTTGCAATATTTTACATCATAGTCCCATCAATAAAATTTGCATTATCCTAATAATGACAAGAACGATTTGTTATAAAGAAATCTTTATCGTGAGATTGCTGCAATCATAAACGCTGCTAATTTCAGATTTAAATAAAACCAAGTTGAAGACTCTATATACCATGCCATCTAGAATTGAGTCTTGATCGTCGGTAATAATCAGGACAATATTCCCCAATCCAACCGATAATGATAAGTAATTCAGGAACAAGAAAAGAATCTTTAGATGCATTTTGATCAATATTGCAAAGTTTAAATACAGAATACAGTCTCACAAACACTTTCTACCTTTGGTAGAACATGACAAAATTAAACGCAAAGTTAAATGCGCGCGAATAACATTCCGCCAAGTATTCGCGAATAACACGCAGAAATCGATTCATATATTATTGACATCGCACAGCTTAGCTCACTGAAATAAATATAGCACGTGTGATAACAGTACAACTCGAAGCTGTAAAATTATTACTAGCTACACGTAAAATGTTTAATATCACAAAGTAACACAAAGCAAGCAAATGTTACTAGATAGCATTGAGATGATCAATTGGAAGTTGGCGCTGTAAATAAAAATAATTACGTTAAAACATACATCAAAGAATTGTTCTTCAATTGCTCCTTCGATATCCAAAATTGCTCCACTTAATTAATATTAATAATACTATTACTATGAAAGCAGTCACCAATTTTTACCTAGCAAATAATCCTATTTACACTTATTTTCTTTTAAATCTGTTCTTATAGAACGATTATTCCTCAATCACTTTTTTAATTCCTATTGTTAGGTTTTTAATTTTTGTTGAGTTTTTATTTATAAAAATTAATAAATGTTGATTATTTGATGCGTACGATCAGTGTGGCCAACTTTTGAAAGCAATGATGCACAGAAAGCACTAGATTTTTACAAATTTTTTAAACTGCCCTATAAACTTAATATTCTTGAAAAATTATCCGTCTTATATCCATAGTGCATAAGATATGTTTTAAATTTAAGGTTTAATCTTTACATCTTTACATCTTTACTTAAAATTCTCTTTATCAATGCTTACTAATAATATACATAATCATTTCTCAGCCGTAACAAATAAAAATTAAAAATTTTTTTCGGATTTTTATGGAACAATTTTTTAATAATTTTTTAATAATATTATATTATAATTTCCCCAAGAATAATTTGCACTTTTAAATCCTTCTGCCTTTTGATTGTCATTTGTCAATACTTTTATGTAATAAAAAAATGAGTATTATACATTTATGTGCTGTATTGCAACAAAGTCTTCCTTTAAAGTGTGGTGTTTTTTACTGTCAAATATGCCTCGTAGGGCAATAAGTCATCATCAAGTTATTAACACTGTTATTAATTTTGATATTATTAATGATAAAACTTGGAAAATTTATCCTAAAATTTGGAAATATAAGGCTCAGCTAATTAAACAATCAAATTAGGTATGATAGGGAGCATAAAGAGCCAAACGCCAGATTTCCGTGCGATAGAATTTGTATGTATATTATAAAAATAGCTTACAAATAACAGACGTTTCTGCCTGATATCAGACTATTTTCAGGCTATGTAGGGTAACAAAAAGAAAATTAAACACCAGAATAAAAAAATATAAAATGCATATTAATAAAAGAAGTGGTTCTCCGTCTGTAATTTCTAGACATATAATTGAATCCTCTCACGAGTTTGATTGGGACAATGTAAGAATTTTGGACGAGAAACCTTCTTATAACAAAAAACTTATTTCGGAAATGATTTTTATTAAATGTCAGAGTGCAGGATTAAACGGTCAGAGAGTGACACCGACTTTTATCAAAATCATATTTTCCTGTTCTAAACTTTCCTCTCTTATGATCTAGAACCCTTCTCCTTTTTTCTTTATTTCACTCATCTTTTACCATCTTTTTCTCCATTCCTTATAACCTATTCTTCCTCTCCTCATAGGTCTCTCATCGCTTCGGATCGTTGATTGGAATACTAGCATTAACATTTTAATTTTTGACTAAGTTGTCATATTTTTTTCTGTCTCTTCCATCTTCTCTTATACATAATGTCGAACACCTGTATTATGGATTTTATCAAGTATGTATAAAATAAATAATTTTTTATTTGGTTGTTAATAACGTCATAGTAATTAATTCATTTGTTTAATTTATTTTAGTACTTTAACTTTATTATTAATTATATAATTTATTATTTTAATCGTACGAATCAAATCTTGCCTTAATGTCGTAAATCGTATAGCAAATGTTGACGTTACGTTTCATATTTTATTGTTTTGAAGATAGTCTGATGTCGGGCAAACGTGTATGTTATTTGTAAGCTGTTTTTATAATATAATACAAATTCTATCTCACGGAAATCTGGCATTTTGACTCTTTACGCTCCCTATCGTATCTAATTTATCCTAAAAGTCACTCAATCTGGACAACTATTTGTAACGTATGGAATAATCGCATGAAATCAATGAATCTTTATTTTTACATTGTTCAAAACAGAAATAATATTTTAAATTTTTATAAAAAAATAAAAAAACATTTTAATCAAAAATTGCAGTTTTGTTAAAAATAATATATCAATTAGTGAAATTTCAACTAATGATTATTCTGATGAAAAATGTCATAATGTTCAAGTAAATTTATATATATAAGAATTTACATTCAAAAAAGTTAAATTTTCAAGTTTTTTTAACTAATGGCGGACTTCCAAAAAGCTATCACCTCCGATTTGGCTGATATTCAGCCTAAATACTTATTTTATCTAGTAAATAATATTTCCAAATGAATTTTTGGCGCAAATGCCCCCTCCCCCCCCCAGCCCCCCTCAAAAGTAAAACCGTTTTTGTTAATTATTTCAGAAAGTATTCATTATACGGAAAAAGTTGTGAAACAAAAAATGAAGCTCATAAAAAGCTCGACAAATAAGATTCTATACATATTTTACTTAACTCCAATATTTTAGTCGTTATTATAAAAAAACTTGTAAAAGCCACAACTTGTAAGGACGGTACCCATTGCATCCACGCATACACTTTCCACGTGAAGCGAGGTAAATTCTACATGGGTTTACGAATTTCTACGCAAAACGAGATTCAATCCAAACACTATGTGTATAGTTTTTTGATGATGGAGCTGGAGGCGGAACACACTGCCTCCAGATTATTGATGATAACGACTAAAATATTGGAGTTAGGTAAAATATGTATAGGACCTTATTTGTCGAGCTTTTTATGAGCTTCATTTTTTGTTTGATAACTTTTTCCGTACAATAAATACTTTCTAAAATAATTAACAAAATAGTTTTAAAATAATTAACAAAATAGTTTTCTAAAATAATTAACAAAAATAGTTTTACTTTTGAAGGGAGTTGGGGGGCGGAGGGGGCATTTGCGCCAAAAATCCATTTGGGAATATTATTTACTAGATAAAATAAGTATTTAGGTTGAAAATCAGCCAAATCGGAGGTAATAACTTTTCGGAAGTTTATCCAAAACCTGGCTAAACACACATTTTGACAGAATTAATTTGCATTGAAAAAAAGTTGCCTTACGTCCAGTTTTAAAAATTAAAAAAATTACTAATATAAATGATAAAACTTATCTGATTATAAAATATATGGATTTTGTCCATCAACAATTTATTGTGAACGTCCATTCAATTTTAATCAAGATATTGATATAAAATTCAACATTTGGACAGTTGATACAAGTAATTATCCTCATTCAAAAAAACGCTTTATATCGGGAGTACATCGTGACATATTTAAAAAAGAATTAGAGAACAAAAAACCAATCAATTGCGAAATAAACTTATTAAAAAGTTATTGTTTCATACAGTGAACAATTAGGTCCATTTGTGCCAAATATTAATGTTCTTAATAAAATTCGTCAAGAAAGTACAAATGAAAAATTAGGCATCGTAAATATAAATTTATGGGATTTATTACAATATTTAAAGACTAATGTAAAGTTCAGTCGAGCAATTAAACGCTTAACTTTTGAGAAAAAAATAATTACAAGATATAAGAATAATTGTTCAAAAATATTAAGTTTATATGGCAGTTTAAAAAATTTGTAAAAATCTAGTACTTTTTATGCAGCATTGCTTTCAATAGTTGGCAACACTGATCGTACACATCAAATAATCAACACTTTTATTAATTTTTATACATAAAAACTCAACAGTAAATTAAAAATCTAACAATGGGAATTAAAGAGGCAATTGAGGAATAATCGTTGTATAAAAACAGATTTTAAAGAAAATAAATGTAAATAAAGTTATTTGCTAGGTAAAAATTGATGACTGTTTTCATGTAATAGCATTATTAATTAATTAAGTGGAACAATTACGGATATCGAAGGAGCAATCGAAGAGCAATTCTTTGATGTATGTTTCAACGCAATTACATTTATTCGCAGCGCTAACTCCAATTGGTGAGATAACATTTGCGAAGAGTGCCAAAAACAACAATCCGCGCGGCCGGCAGAGGGTGTTGGGAGAGGTTGAGCTTATGCGTTGCCTTACGCTTGAGCACGCACACGGCACAACGAACGAACGAACAGAACAAACTGGCACAATCGTAACATTCCGCACGCACTTCCTCATCGACGAGGTAGCCCTTTCTCGAACACGCCGGATGTATATGCGTTGCGCCGCGACACACAACGCAGCCGCGAAATTATATCGGCGAGTTCTGCCCACACTACCCCCGGCGTCCCGAAGAATAGCCGATAGACACGCAGTAAGTTTTATGAGGCCCGACTAAACCCGTAATATCTATCCGATTGGTCATTTCTTTTCGCGCGTGCAACGTCATTCTGTTTCTCCGTCTTCCTCCGTCTATTTCGCGCGATGTATAGCTGGCTCAGTACGCAGCGGTAGCGCAGCGCCAGGTAAAGCGTGGAAGTAAAATTGTCGGTCATGTAGAGCAGCGTGGCGCGCCACGCGATTCTCGTGGAAACCGCCGCTGAGGGCGCGTCGCTCGCGCGATCGTCGCGCCGTGTTCCGACGGAATAGCCAATGAACGAGCGCGACAGCGCCGACGTTTTATCGAGTTGTTCGTGGCACGCCCTACGACTTCCTCCATTGTTCTTCTTTCCGGGATACTCTGCGTGGAAGGATGGCTCAGAACAATTATTTCGGCTTTACTCACGGCGGAACGCAATATGGGTACGAAATCGTTTGCATATCACTAATACTAAGTAGCCAGTGTTAAGCTAAGCGAAAATTCATGGCCGTAAACGCATTCGCGTTAGTGATTAAAACGTCCCGTTAAACGTCGGCACGCGCTCAGAAGTTCAGCCGGCTCGGCGGCCATTTCTTTTGCCGTGCGGTAGCGTCCGTCAAGCGTCACCGGGCACGGCTGTCGATTTTCTCAATCTCATACACATTGTCGTCGTGTATCATTTCTCGCACAAATGTTTCACGAGTCTTGCATGTCGAACAGAATCAAATATCCACTGTTCTTTTTAACAGGGCAACCAGCGCTGCCGCGTATCAGACCGGACAAGCGGGATACGCGGTAACTCCAGCGGCGACTGCCGCTACGTATACCCAGCGTCCCGCTGCCGCCGCTGCTACTGGGTACGAAACCTATCAAGCAGCTGCTGCTGCTGCAGCAACTGGCACAACGTACGCAGGTAAGTTGACCAACAAAGTTTTATATAAATGATAACATTTATGATCTTTAACAAACAATATAGCGATTGATTTTTGAAAAGAGATTTTACAATAAACATTACTCGTCACTCATTTGTCTCATTGTCATAACTTTTGTATTTATCAAACATTGCAACAATGTTTTTTTAAGGCTGCTGAGAAAGAAAATATTGCTATTGACATGTTCTCTTGATGATTTTATGTTCATGTGCCGCGTAGGTTGCATACACCTTATGTTGAGATAAACAATATATTGTTATTCAATATTTTAATATATATTATATGTTGTGACTCACAATGTGATAACTGCAGTATATATATTTTAGTATCAATACATGATTTTATTAAATGTTACATTTAATTATAAAATTAAAACATTAAATTATAAAAATATACAACAGTCTGAATAGAAAGTTTGGTGTGTGGAGCGTATATGACCCATGTGACAAATAACATGTTAACAAACAAAAAACAGGCATCTGGAAGAATATTTTTATAAAGGCTTTAATTAAGGTTTCAAAGAAATCACATGTTTTATATGTACTCAACTTTTTTCTAAATTATGCTTATATTATTATATGTATAGAAAATTCGAGGATAAATTTTGATTTATAATTAATAGCAAATAACAAAAAAATTAAACATACTTAAATAACAACATTGATACAAAATAAATCTTAACCTTTATATATTATTTTTTTCAAAATGTTTAGAAATATATAATTATAATCTAAGAATAAAAGTTATAAATAAAGTTTGATAAATCTAATTTGATGGCAGTTGATGACGATGTATTTGTTTCATATATTGATAATAATATATTTTGTAACTATTTAAACACTTCTCTACGTACAATGATGACAATCATGGCATTAATTTATTTAAGCTGCTAATCCTGGCACTGTGGCTCAAACTTATGATTACGGTTACGGGCGCACTGCACCGGCAGCTACGTACGACGCTACCAAGACTTACTATCAACAGCCAGCAGCTGCAGCAGCAACTTATACTACCACTGAAACACACTATCAAGCTGCAAAACCTGCTTATAGTACGACCAGTGCCTATACTGGCACTGCTAGACAAGCCACCACCACTGGACAAGCTAAGACTTATCAGGCATCTAGTACAGCTTATCAGCAATCTAATCCTACGCAGAGCGCGACTTACTCTTCTGGATACACAGCTCCGGCTACGCCTGCCGCTACACCATCAACTGCGACAAATAGTAAGTTGTTAGCCTGTTGTATTTTTATCTTCAAAAAATCTCAAGTCCTATCTTGACCACTAACTGTGAAGTAGGAACTAATAACATGAAATTGATCCTCTCATGATACGTGAAAAAAGAAAATTTTACAAAACTCTGCTAGCATTCTCGAGCATGATGACAGCACGAGCGTGATAGCAGAAGTCTGGAATTTTTACTCTCGTTCCCAAATACGGAGTACAGTTTCGGTTATGTCGATCACCCGGTGTGGAAGTCTCGTGTCTCGTTACTTTATAGCTTGATATATCTCGAAATGAGTGATAGCAAAAATTTTGTGCCGCGCGAAAGTACGAAGGATTTGCACCCCTCCAAAGTTTGAGGTTTCAATTTCATTTCCCTTAGAAACGGCGAGTACAACGTATTCCGGCTACGACGCAGCGCTATATAGCGCTGCGACTATGTATGTAGCCCAACAGAGTGCAAACAGCAATTCAACTAACCAGAAGACTGGAGGTTGGCAGGGCTACGGACGAAAGGGATTCGGAGCTGGTGGGGGAGGGATGAAGGCAATGCGGCCCAAGCAGCCTCCCAAGCCACAGCAACTACACTATTGCGATGTCTGTAAGATCAGCTGTGCCGGACCTCAAACCTATCGCGAGCATCTGGAGGGTCAAAAGCACAAGAAGAAGGAAGCCTCCCTGAAGGTACCCCAACAGCCTCCAACGCGCGGAGCGGGCAACAGCCTTCGTTGCGAGCTTTGTGACGTGACTTGTACAGGAAATGATGCTTACGCTGCTCACATCAGGGGTGCTAAGCATCAAAAGGTGGTGAAGCTGCATACTAAGCTTGGAAAGCCAATTCCGAGTGCGGATCCTACCGTTTTGAATCCGAAACCAGCGGCAGCCGCAAAGGCCGCGGCGACCAAAAAGCCAACAGTGACGGCAACACCTAAAATCAATTTCGTCGCTTGTAAGTAAATCCCCGAATCTTTTGGCGTTACAACATTAATCCTTAATTGTACTCAATGATTTTTTTTATACATACATGCACGTTTTTATGATATATTTTAGCTGGCAATTTGGGCACGGTAAATCAGAATCAAGCGGCTGAGGTGAAGCAGGAGGAGCCAGCTACTGAAGAAGCTGTGGAAGAAGCAGCAGTCGACGAAAAGGATATTCAACCGGTCGGTCAAGAGTATATCGAAGAGAACAAATCAGAGGATGGAAAGATTATAAGTTTCAATTGTAAATTGTGCGAATGTCGATTCAACGATCCCAATGCCAAAGATATGCATATGAAGGGTCGCCGTCATAGATTCGCTTACAAGAAGAAGGTCAATCCCGATTTGGTGGTCGACATGAAACCTAGTCTGAAGCAGCGCAAGATGTTGGAAGAGAAACTACGTAGGCAACAAATGCGTGACGAGTATCTACGTCGCAGGGAAGAGATTAATCAACTGGGACCTATGGGACCTATGATGGACGAGGAGATGATGTATTGGGAAGAGAGACGCCGCTATGAGGAGGAATGCGAATATTACGAGTGGTACCGACGATACGGACGCGGTCCGGGCGCACCGCCGATTCCGCGACCGTTCCCAGGACCTCCGCCCATGATGATGTTCCCGGGTCCACAAAGACGACCGGATTCATCAGACGATAAGCATGTGTTGGCACATCATACAACCATTTATCCCAAGGAACAAGAATTACTGGCAGTTCAGAAAATAGTTTCACACACGGAGAAGGCGTTGAAATTTGTGTCCGACACTTTAGCCGAGGCTGGTGAGTACATTTAAATAATCTTCACTTGCAAATTGCGTAGACAAAATTTTGAGAAATTGCACTTTTACACGGACGCATCTGATTGTTTGCTGCAGGTAAGAAAAATAGTCCTGCAAATGCTAACGCTACTGCAACGACACCTGTGGCAACTGGTGGTACACCGCAGACAAATGCGGACGCGTTGAAAAAGGAGGAGGCCGACAAGAAGAAGATAGTCACGCCACAGAAGGAAGATGGCAGTGATGGGAATCTCTTTTCATTTCAAAAGGAAAAGGAAGATTCGAGAATACTTCGTGGTGTTATGCGCGTCGGAAATTTGGCCAAAGGACTTTTGCTATCCGGAGATAATCACGTTTGCCTCGTCGTTTTGTGCGCTGAAAAACCGACAAGGTACTTGAATTATAATTTCTCTGTAATATATCATGTAATATGTGTTATACGCGATAAAAACATTATGGAGAACCACTTCGTTTTCACAGGACATTGCTCAATAAGGTTGCTGAGATTCTACCCGGTGAACTGAAGAACGTAGCTCCCGAAGAGACCTACAACGTTGGCAAGCACCCGGAATCTGCAGCTTTAACGGTCTCGGGGGGAACAGTGACCGTCAGCGTGACGCTCACAAGTCCCCTGATGCGCGAGACACCAAAATCGACCGCGACAGCAGGTAATTTCATTATTTCGTATTTTTACGGTGGCCAAGAAAAGGATAACTACGAAAGAGAGAAAGAAAAAGAGCAGCGGGGTTGTTATGGAATTATGCACCTCTTTTATTTTCACGCCGTTTTCTTAACTACTCTGCGATTTTTACACATTTAGTTTGTTCTTTTCATGGCCCAGAAAACTTTCTGTAAGTTTTTTTAAGCACCAGGACGAGGCGGGGCAGCCAAGGACGGTTCGACGGTTGCCAGTGTACATACGCTCTAACATAAAGTTAATTTCTTTTTCGATATAGCTGCGTGTCTTAGTGTGTCCACGACAGAGTCCTTGTAGAATGCAATTTTTGACTGTAAGAGCGTTCTGACTGCGAGAAACGATATTTGAAATACGAAATAACGAGATGATTGAAAGAAAGAGAGCGTAAACTTGATCGGTTAGAAACTGCCGGTCAGTTTTATCGCGTGTTATTTCGTTCGTAAGTAACACGGCTTTTCCTCATACGCCTTACCAGTGACGAATAATCGAGCTAGAGTCAATTGTCGAACGATTCTAACGAGATTTTATTGAACGTGGACACGCTTGCGATAGGAGGAAACAACGCTGAGGCAATCTTAAAACTATGGACTTTTTGATCATGCATAAAAGAAAGACAGAAGATCCCTCTGACTGGTATCGAATGCTGTACATATGTTTTGCGATGCGCATCACGTATCTCTGAATTTCATCGACGGTTTCCCATCGGCATCGGTGTCCATCTATCCTTCAAAACGGGATAGGGGTGACGCTACCGATGCCGATGGAAATGGTCGGGCATTCTTCGAACATTCGTACAAAAAAATCATCGGAATGTTGAATTTGGGCGAGCCTGATGCATTGCAAACGTACTACATTCGATCAGACTTATATTTCTTTTCTCGCGTTGGCATTATTACGACATAGCTCGCAATTTCAAGGTGCTTTAGTTTGAAATGAATATATAGAGGGAATACCTGAAAACAATCTGGGCATGATCAAACACTCTAAGTGTTGTCTAAGCGTGTTGTGCTTTCTTTGTTGGAATCTCAGATAATGCTGGACAGCAGCAACAGGATGCTGCTCAACTGCAAGCGACGCCCGCGGCCCCCGCTGTGACGAAACCAGATCCGCCAGATGTACTTCCCAAGGCTAAGTGTTTGGAGGCTTTAGCTGCACTCAGGCATGCGAAGTGGTTTCAGGTTTGAATCCATCAACTCTCAGTTCAAGATCTCAAAGAATTTGTCGATGCCACATTCTTGTTTGGCGCTATGTAACGAGCATTTTCTTTTATTTTCTCCTGACAAAAATGCGAGACGCGTGCAAGTTGTCCTCTCTTTCTTAAAACAATCAGTCAAAGCAAAAAAAAAAAAAAGAGAAAAAAGCAGTCTTAGAAACTTCCAGCCTTGTGACGGTTTTATTTTTATTATTACCCGACTTGTCGGCACGATTCTGTCTGAATAGCCTATTTGATCAGGTTCGATGTTTGCCGTGCTGTCCACTGAATTTCTAACACGCGCAAACAGTCGGCTTCACTCACTATCCATTCCGGAGCATTAGTTACGATTACTATGATCTGAAATAGAGTGGCATCGTCTATGCATTGGCTATCCTAAACAGTGATAATCGTACATCGAACACACGATCAGATATTATCAGGCAAGAAATCACACAAGTAAGCAACATGTAAATGTTTATCTCGACGTGCAACGCTGCTAGATGCATTTACATCTGCTTTGCTTTGAATCTTCTCAACATCCAGAATAATAGGAAACTGTTTCTTTGTAAAACGTAAGTTGAAAACATAAACTCATTTTGTATCACCAGAAGTGGATGTGTGATTTTTCTTTGTTTTCTTTAACAGCAGACTGCTCGACTACTTTACGATCAAGCACTATTCATTATTCTGGATCGTCCTTAATGCGTTGTAGCCTAGGCTGCGTCTGTTCTAGGTCTGTCTTAACTTGAAAGCTAATCGACATTTATAGTGTACAGCTTTTTGTAAGATTATATATATATTTCGTTCCATTTGTAACAATATATTAATAGTGCGTTATTTGCACAGCTTTGGAGATTAAAGAGACAGACAAGCACAAACACACAGTAGCGCGTCATAAGTGTACCGGGTGTTTCTATAAATGAGAAGTCGAGTCCTAGCAACTACTCTGAAGACATGCACAGTTCTTGAGAGAGATATGAGCTCTAGCTTTTTTTTATTATTGCGATAGGTACGTTTAGGAAAAGTGATTGATAAACACCCGGTAATGTTGATATGGGCTAATACTATTAGGGGCATTAGGCACGAGGCTGGGAGGATAGCTAAAGCCCACACAAAGCAATTCAAAGGATAGTTTAGGCCGTTTTTATCTCCAGAAGAGCCAGTGCTTTTATTGTGAACATTAAATCGTAGTTTTTGAAATGTTAAACCTGTTCAACAGGCTAGAGCCACCTCGCTGCAGAGCTGCGTTATGGTTATCCGTATAATGCGCGACCTTTGCAATCGTGTACCAACGTGGGGTCCGTTAAATCCTTGGGTTAGTATAAAGTTTATATATTTGAGCGATTTTTCGATTATTTGAGATTACGATCCCTTCATAATCTATGCAGGCATTGGAGTTATTGACTGAGAAAGTGATCAGCACCGCTGGAGGTCCTCTTAGTCCCGGCGAAGCTTTGAGAAGGCTTTTAGAGTGCGTAGCTGGAGGAATATTGCTTCCAGGCAGTCCAGGTAATTTTTTTCAATCCATTCGCAGCTGTGTGTTTGGATATTTTTATCATTGATTGCGTTTAAAAAACACAATAGCTGTAAAACCGTTAAGTAACACTTGCAGACTCTGCAAGAACCACAGACAATTGTTATTTAACAGTTTTACAATTTTTTTTTTTTTTTAACGCAATTATTCTAAATTTCTTCTTTAAATGATGAAAAAAAGATGACGAGTCTGAGCATATTGTGGAGATGATTACTGATCTCGAGCACAAGTATTTTGTTCTCTTGCATCACAATCATACATTCCACAATAATGCGTAGATGATATGGCATCCTGATAAATTATAGCAATGTTACTGATTACATAACCTTCTTTTCAAAGACCAATAATGATGAAGATAAATATTCCTTTAGGATTATCCGATCCATGTGAGAAGGAGCCGGTTGACGCGATAGGAAACATGACGTCTCAACAAAGAGAAGACATCACCGCATCCGCGCAACACGCGTTACGGCTGGTAGCGTTCCGTCAGATTCACAAAGTCCTAGGTATGGAGCAGCTGCCGCCGCCGAAATTCAAAGGACGATTCGCCAGAAAACGAAGACGTGACAACAGCAACGGCGAAGGCACGGACAGCGAAGCTTCAAAGAAGGATAAGAAAGCAGAGGAGATCAAAATGGAAACAGATTCGAAGTAGAAGAGAGATCTACCAAAAAATTCGTTCTACGAATTACACCTATTAACTTATCTAATATAAAAAAAGAAAAAAAAATATTTCTCCGCCGTGTCAGTTGCTTGTTTAGGAACAGAAGTATATCTTCGGATCAAAACAATTTGGTATTAAGTGATACTTGTTGCGATGTAGGATGCGCGTAATCCAAAAACGATTATGCTAAAAGACGACGAGGGATGCTTATCAAGTTGCAATAGTGGGCATTTGTTGAATCCACTCTCTCCTGTTGCAGATTATTCATTTTAGACCAATTGTGACGATTCTAATTGGTGTAAAATGAGTAACAGTGTGGTCATTATTTTCCTTCTACGAAATATTTCGTATTTAATCATTATCTAATATGTGCATCGCAAAACAAAAGATGTAGAGTTTACGGCAAATAAATAAAGCTTAGATCGATTGATAAACTTTCTCGAACAGGCAATTGGTGCGATTAGTTTTGATCTTAGCTTTATATCGAAACGAACCTGATGAATGCGTTCACATTGATTTGTTCTGATTCATCTCGGTCACGGTGGATATGAACAGGAAAAATTGAAACGATTGAGTGGTAGAACGCGACGATGAACATTTATAAGTTTGACTTTAAGAATAGATAATAGATTGTATTTGAGAATTTGTGTGTATGTTGTGTGTGTAGTCATACCGACGTGTAGAAAATATTATACCCTCCTTCTCTCACACTCCTGCACAAAAGTGACAAACTATTTACTATGTATGCTTTTGACACGTGCATCGTTCACGTGAAGAGTACAGACGAGATATTTAGAAGTCAACGAATTGGATGCTTTAACGATATCTAACGCGAAACAAGTGTTAACATTTTTTAATAGATCACTGAATTAATTTGAGTTTCATTTGCAGAATACAAAGACGTGATATTAACTTTTCAAACATTTTACCGCCGTTTAAGTGGTTTTTTTTTCCAATCCTGTCTAGATTTTCTGTTCTGTATTTTCAGATCATCATTGAATAAAAAGAATATGTACAATGCAATCATTAGTTTATTAATATGTCTGATTGAATTTAATATAGGAAAGTCCTGAATGCTACTTTCCTATCCAATTATATGTATTTTATTCAATTTGAAGATTTTATAGAAAATTCAAATTAATTGTAGTTTGCGAATATTTTTCAAGAAAGAAAGTCAAGTATTTTTATGAAATTTTTAAATAGATTTTTTTTTGTACATTTTATATTTTATTAATAATTTTTTATTGTTAAATAATTTATATCAGTATGGCCATTTTTGAAAATCTAGAACACACGTATATATAATTAGATTTTTTACTTAAAATCGATTAAAAAATTATTTTAAAAGCGTCAAACCGTGTTTTAAAAATTTTTTTTTATATTATTTCCTTCTTGTAGTCAATATTGCATCAGATTACAAAGCTATTCTCGAAATGATGTCGCATCACGCTGTATATATGTATATTGAATTTATTTTTATGTTATTACAATTCACAGAATATCATTTTCCGAATAAAACTGCAATTTCTCAATAACCAAGAAAGAGCGTGTAAGTAGCACATACATTCAACAAAACAGCTGAAATATATTATTATTATGAAAGAAATAATTTGATATTAGGATGAATCGTAGCTTTCGACACATTGCTCATTTTCTCCCGAATAACCTCAATCTCGTTGATAATGAATTTTCTAATCATTTAGAGGATTGCATCAATTCGTGATAAAGGACAATAAAGAATCATTATCAGAATTGCGTCTTGAACGAATGATCTATGCCATTCCCCTGAAAAGGATGCACAAAATATACTTTTAATTAAGAAAAATTAAATTTTTATAATTTCAGTGGATTTCATTTTTGATGCGAAAAATTATGTTATCATTGTCGATTCGTTATATGTTATGTAGAGGAACAAAGGAATCATTTTCGTATATTTATATATCGAAAAATCCAACGGTTAGTCCTCGATAAATAAATAGACTTGTACATATAAGAATGCTCTAGAATATAAAAGAATGAGGACTCTTTGTTGCAAGTCACGACATATGTGACGTACATATGTACTGTATGTACATGTCATGCTTTGTGACGTCAAAATATCGACCAATCAGCAACATCGTGTTGCTGATTGGTCATGTTTTGTCCAATCAGAACGAATGTGCGTCACAAATCACAAAGAGTATAAAAGAGAAGAGCGTCGCGCTTGCAGCGTAATAATATGCGTGTAGAGCACTGTGTAACATCGCGTCTGACAGTTTTTCAAATTGTCTACGACAATTTCAGTGAGATTTATAAATATCTACAGCAACTAAAAGCTTCCAGATAAAAGGTATTGTATCTTGCATATGAATTCTTGGTTCTCGAATTTTTAGTCTTGAAATATTTGTGAAGCCGAAGATATATATTTTATTAACCGTTTAATTCTCGTTCGACAAAAATTATTAATATACTATAGTTAGTAAAATTTTTAGCAAAGAATACTGCATTTAATTGACTTTTCAATATTCGGTTATGGATTTGCGTGAATTAGTTTAAATGAGTATATAACATTGATCGTTGTCTGTTGCTAGGCGGAACTTTCATCGTTAAATTTTAGAATATTTCAAGGCATAATCAAAAAGTTAGTTCGTTTTGTATCGGCAGAAGACGTATGGAAATTGAGCATACTTTTAATCACTAATATTCTTTTATTACTATTAATTATGAAGTTTTCTCCAAACTGAATAAAGAACGGCGTGACTCATCATACACTTACTGCGCAGTAATAGGAATCCAGGCAAGATGGCGGCTAACAATTTTATTTGCGTCATGCAGTTAGTTGGCAGCTTTCCTTTCAAAACTAATGATACAACTTCTTATATTGTTTCTTTTTTGTAAAAATAAATATTTAGAATATTTCCCTTTTTCTGCGTGAGATTTATCGACATCTGAAATTTATTGCATTGTTTAATAGTTTTAAGTATGAATAATTATGAGGAATTATTTCATTATTTATCTACATATTTTTTAACATAGCTTTAAAAAGATACTTTATAATATAATTTAAAAATTTTACAGAACACAATGCAGATCTTTGTGAAGACATTGACTGGGAAAACTATAACTCTTGAAGTTGAAGCTTCTGATACTATTGAGAATGTAAAAGCCAAAATTCAAGATAAAGAGGGTATTCCACCCGATCAGCAGCGTTTGATTTTTGCCGGAAAACAGCTTGAAGATGGTCGCACTTTGTCCGATTACAACATCCAGAAGGAATCTACTTTGCATTTGGTTCTCAGACTGCGTGGTGGAATGCAGATTTTCGTTAAAACCTTGACAGGAAAGACCATAACGTTGGAAGTTGAAGCATCAGACACAATCGAGAATGTTAAGGCAAAAATTCAAGACAAAGAAGGCATCCCTCCGGATCAGCAGAGATTGATTTTTGCTGGAAAACAACTTGAAGATGGTCGCACTTTGTCTGATTACAATATCCAGAAGGAATCTACTTTGCATTTGGTTCTCAGACTGCGCGGTGGTATGCAGATTTTCGTCAAAACTCTAACAGGAAAGACCATTACGTTAGAAGTCGAAGCATCAGATACAATTGAGAACGTTAAGGCAAAAATTCAAGACAAAGAGGGCATCCCTCCGGATCAGCAGCGTTTGATCTTTGCCGGAAAACAGCTTGAAGACGGCCGCACACTTTCCGATTACAATATTCAGAAAGAATCTACTCTGCATTTAGTTTTACGGCTTCGCGGAGGTATGCAAATTTTTGTGAAAACTCTTACAGGAAAAACCATCACTTTAGAAGTCGAGGCATCAGACACAATCGAGAACGTCAAGGCAAAAATTCAGGACAAGGAAGGAATCCCTCCGGATCAACAGCGTTTGATCTTTGCCGGAAAACAACTCGAAGATGGTCGAACGCTCTCAGATTACAATATTCAAAAAGAATCCACTCTTCATTTAGTTTTGAGGCTTCGCGGTGGTGGTATGCAGATTTTCGTTAAAACTCTTACCGGTAAAACCATCACGCTGGAAGTCGAGTCTTCTGATACTATTGAGAATGTAAAAGCCAAGATTCAAGATAAAGAGGGTATCCCACCTGATCAGCAGCGTTTGATTTTTGCTGGAAAGCAACTGGAAGACGGGCGCACTTTGTCTGATTATAATATCCAAAAGGAATCCACTTTGCATCTGGTTTTAAGGCTTCGCGGTGGAATGCAGATTTTCGTCAAAACTCTAACAGGGAAAACCATCACGTTAGAAGTTGAGGCATCAGATACTATCGAGAATGTCAAAGCTAAAATTCAAGACAAAGAAGGAATCCCTCCGGATCAGCAGCGTTTGATCTTTGCTGGAAAACAACTTGAAGATGGTCGAACGCTCTCCGATTACAACATTCAAAAAGAATCCACTCTGCATTTGGTTTTGAGGCTTCGCGGTGGTATGCAGATTTTCGTCAAAACTTTAACAGGAAAGACGATTACATTGGAAGTCGAGGCTTCTGATACCATTGAGAACGTGAAGGCAAAGATTCAAGATAAAGAGGGCATTCCTCCTGATCAACAAAGACTGATTTTTGCAGGCAAGCAACTCGAGGATGGACGCACTTTATCAGACTACAATATTCAAAAGGAATCTACACTTCATCTTGTGCTTCGTCTTCGGGGCGGAAATATTTAATTCTATAACTGTGATTTTTCAGTTAAGCTTTAATTCTATTGTGTTACGACAAATTATGATAAATTTCTAATTATATTTATTAATTTGAAAATGATAAAATTTTTAGTGAGAATTCTGTCAAATAAATTGCAATTAATAAATCCTATGTGTTTTAACTGTGTTCTAATTGTGAATTGACTTATAATTTTATTGATTCCCTTAAAGAAAGAAAAAGAATATTTAAATCGTATGTATTTTTTATAATCATATTCGTAAAAATTTATTCACATTTTTATAATGATTTTTTTAATAATGCTGTAGTTTTTAAAAACAAACTAATTTTTGAAAACTTGTATAAATATTGGTTGTATTTTTTTTTAAGTTTTTAATGAAAGATATAAATAAGAAAACGAAAATTAAGTTGTATAATACACTTACTTTTTCCTACTTTTGTAACATCCAATTACGTGATAAATGATGTAATTATTTGCTACGAAGTAAAAAACTTAATATTTAATAATATTTTAATTTACATATTAATTTTTAATCATTTTTTTTGCATTTGAATTAAAATATATTTGAATATTCGCAAAAAATAAAATGCTTGACTCGATAAAGTAGTTCGTCTTCAAATTCTCAAGCAGGTGTCGCTAAAACGCTTTATTTTTTCGCTAATTTATAGAAGAGTATCATAACCTCACATAACCTTGCTTACTTCTTATATATAATTGACATTTTTACAAGTAAAAGCATTTATACGAACGATATATGTATTTTGTGCCATACTAAGAAATGAAGAAATATTTAATTTATTTTATAAACTTTTAAAAGTGATTGTAGAAGTAAGAAATAGATTGTGCAAGATGGATCTACATAATCGTTATTTGCATTCCCCGTCACTAAACATTTCGGTTTTACAACCTGACGATAAATGCAAGAATGGTATATTCGTTGAACTTCATCATTTAATACAACTTCACAATCGTGAGATGATTGAAGAAAAATTGGATATAAATAAACTCGAAATTTGTCGAATGCTGTTGTGTTACGAATATCAACTCATATTTAAGGACATTGAAAATCAGGATGATGAGAAAGATATGATAAATAAAAAATATGTAATACCTGCTGATGCTGAGCAAACTCGTTTTTCTAGTATTGGTGCAATTTTTCCACCAGAACATTTACGAAGTACCTTGGAAATTTTAGTCTTACACGATATAATCATTCTACAAATGGTACTTTACTATGATATCAAGTCAATTAAAAAACATCTACAAAGTTTTCTTAACTCAAGCAATACCTATATCGCAAAAAGCAACACCAGAGTTATGTACATGAAGATATTGGAGTACGTTTTAGAATCCTTACATTTGCATCAATTTCTTCATAATTTTTCAAGTGACAGCGAAGAAGATTTAAAAGAACTTGGTTCTATATATTTGGAGATTGTAAAGTCATGGATGAAGGTAAAGGAAGATCATGAATGGAAAGTATTTGCTTCAATGCTTTTTGTATTAACAAAAACTTTCACCCCTGAAAGTATTCTGTTTCCATTGTGGGATTATATCATGAATGAAATAAATGATTTAAAAGAACGTCTTACCGTCCTAAGTCTTGTGGTGGACGCATGTTTTGCATCATCGGATTCAATGGATTCAACTTATATACATCGTGATATTTACACAAGCAACACATTCTGGTCATTAATATTAACAGGATTACAATCACCTGTTCAACAATGCCGCAAACAAGCTTTATATATAATGAAAAGGGCAGTCAATTCTGTAAGTAAGGTTTGTGTACAGAACTTTGCTCATTTGAAATTAACAAAGGCTCAAATTACTCCATTTATTTGCAGCGAATCTCATGCTACAGCTTTGCATCCAATCGATAATATCAAGCAAAAATTCTTTTTGATCTATGAAGCATTGGAAGAGTCACAATATCATTTGGTAGCGCCAGCTTTAACGTATGTCGCTAGCTTAGTGCAAGCGTACAAAGAGCGTAAATCTTGCAAAGAGTGTTTTGACATCGTATGGTTGCAGTGCATTCTTGAGAAAGTTCTACAGCACAAGAATAATAATATTGTAAAGTGGGGTGTACTGTACACTTGTAAGCTGAATGAGAGCAGTGTATTTAACGATCAGTTTCTCGACTTATTCGTGAATGTCCTTAATAATGCTTTTCTTTATGAATTTCACCCAGACGAGGAATGCCCAGAAATTGTGAAAGAACTCTCGACATTCTTCACGTGTACGGAGGAAAGAAATTTGCTGAACAGATTCCTGAAAAAAGTTAGTGAAGTAACGTGGAGCCCTATAGCAATATTTTACATAATACATACGCTGCAAACACTGCAACTTGAGACGATAAAGTACAATAACTGGCGAGCCGCCGAATTGAAAGCCATTAAGACTTTAGTGGAAACAAATTTGAATATGCATTCTCACATTTTACGCATTGCATCTCAAACTGAACTTTTAAAAGCAATCTCCAATTACGTACTGCAGATAGATGATTTAATATTGTTTGCTAATACTTTAGCCAGCTTTCCTGCCGGGGAAGGCCTTGTAAGAGGAACGGTCCCTTGGATCGCTATTACAACACGTTTGCAAAAAGCATTGCTACCCAAAGATGCGAAGACCTTTGTGGAAAATACTTGCGAAACATATTTGAGGACATGTAATATTGAGAATGTCGGTTCTAAGTTCAATCCTAGGACATTTGCACTGATGGTGTATTTATTACACGACGCGAATCTCATACTTTCCGACAGAACATGCCCCACCAAGAAATCATTAAATAACTGGCTGTCCATTTTAAATGGTGTCAATTTAAGACCCTACGTTGATCTGCGTTCAACTATGGATGCAATAGAATTTATATCGCATTTATTAAATTTTTCCGTGACCGGATCGTCTGGTATCACGATGAAAGACTTGATACTGTTATACTTACACACCACTTTTAACATTTTAATTCAGAATATGAGAAAAATATCCAAAAAGATGACTTATGAAGATTACACGAGATACGTAAGCATTGTATCTTTGCATATTGTTAATGCAGGTTTGCTCATGCCAGAAAGAGATGTAAACAATTACGCTGAAAAATTGCAACGTGAAAGTATACTTCTATTGAAGGATACGATAGAACAAACAAACAGCTCGAATGATTTGCAATGCTTGTACGCATTACATATTTTGCATTTATCCCAGAATATAATGGTTTCGCTGTTTGCAAGAACCTTTTATGAGGAATATTTGTTAAATACTGATAATTATCCGACTTTTTTAATGAATAGCGGTGTGACAAATTTGAAAGGAAAAATTGCATCAGCATATTATCAACTTCTCGCGAAACTTCTGCATCAATATCTCACGATAAATCCCAAGTATTCGCTGATTCCGTTTACTGATACTATTTCCAAATTGCTATCCAAGCTACTGAGCTTTTTGGAATTCGGTGGACCAGAAATTGCATCTGAAATAGCATTAATATTGACTGTAATAATTGACAACGCAGTTGTAAATAATGCAAGTGATAAAGTAACTTTAAAAGATATTTTTCAATTGTGCTGGAAGCATGCCTTTGCTGGCAAAAGGAACAATACATTCTGGACAACAATACAGAATCTTACAGGAGTTATTGTTAATGATATGTTTTTGCTCTTTCCTAAAGCCACGAAATTTGCAATGCAAGTAAGTTATGTGAAATTTATATTAATATATGTTAGAATTTTTTATCACAGCTTTTAATATCGATTGTTTACAATTGTTTTTTTATTTTACAGTTCATTGAACAATTATTAGAAGAAGGAGAGAATACGCCAAAATTTCACAGAATATTACTTTCTAAAATGGCAGAATTAAGGGAGGACAATTTGATACAATTAAGCAATGTGTTATTCACTTGTATTTCTCAGGGGTTTCTTCGGCGTGATAAAAGGGTCGAGTATCATACTCATTTGTTTATTGCCAAGCACTTGGGACAGATTTATTATCCAAAACGCATGTTGGAGTTGTAAGTATCTGTTTATCAATATTTGACGTGAATTTTTGTTACACAGACTGTCATTAAAATTAATTCAGAACAATTTGTTGAGTAATAATTTTTCAATATTGATGTTGCACTAACAGGGATTGTAGCAATGATGCTGAAGTTAGAGCGCAGGCGATTATACTGTTATATAAATTAATTATCAAGGATTCCAGGATTCAAAATCCAGGACTTGATTTTGCAGAAATATCTGTGTCGTTTATACTTGAGATATTGAACAAATACAGAAATAAAAGATACTTTAACGACTCCTTTATACATAAATTAAAGCAGAGAGTTATGCAAATTTTACTGATACTAGAGCCAATTTTGAATGAGGTTGGTATACCGAGTTCTTATTATTAGTTAGAGATTTTATTTTTAGATTAGGAAATTAATAAACAATTGCATTTCAGGAACACATTGTTCTACTACAAGAAAACATCTTTGACTTAATTTTTTCGGAAGATAATCAACACAGTGTGCGATTGATGCAGGAATGGTTCTTGATCCTAATCTTTAGGAAAAATACTCATTTACATAATAAACTATGGAAGTATTTTGCAGAGGTAATTCAGGCAAATTCCGCAATCTCACAAAAGTAGATTCTTTGAAGGTCTATTCGGTTTATGATACAATTTTCAGAGTATGGAAAAACGACCAGGATGCACAATTTCCATAGCGAGCATCATCTATCATGTTGCGCGACTTCTTTCGAATGACAGTCAGAAAAGTTTTATTCAAACAGCCTTGCCACACATAGTGCAATGTTGCTTGGGCCAACAATTCAACATGCGTCTTTATAATCAGGTAAGTGAAATCCAGTAAGAGTCGAAAGGATTATGCCACTCTCTCGTATTTATTTGTGTATTCCACAATATTATTTAATCTTTTGATGTAGTTTATTTTAGTTCAATTATGTGACTTGATGAAGAAGGTACATGGTGATGACAGTATATCAGAGTACAAAGGTATATATCAGGCAGCTATGGTTAATTTGCAACAAGGATTTTTAACAAAGAACTCAGTTAAAATACAGGATGATTTTTACTTCTCCCATTTTCATCCGATCAACGATTACAGCTTACAGGTATACATTACACATTTGCTTTCCAAAAAAAGAATTGAGTTTGTAATTTGACATATTAATAGATTATTTTATATTTCTAGTCAATTTATTTTGAATTTCCACGGTTGACTAATATGAGTCGTGATGAATGGATTAGTCCGGATGTGTTTAAAAATCTGAAGTTTAAACAAAGCGATAATCATTCTCTACAGCTTTACAATATCGACTCATTTCTATCTGAGGCTAAATTTTCTATATATTCTACGAAATCTTTGGCAGGTAAGTAAATAAAAAAAAAACAATAAAATATTATATAACTCTTAAAATATAAAATAATTATATTTTAGGTGATACAGAATCAGTGGCAAATAATGTTGAAACCGATTTCGAAGGTTTGCATGATATTCAAAAAAAGATTGTTCCATCAAAGCCTACTGCTACATTATATAATAATTTCGATGAATCGCTGCAAAAATTATATCAGCAAGATTTGCATCAATGTGGCATGCATGAAGGTTTGATAGTTGTAGCATCTTTCATTACGCGACTGCCAAATTTAGGTGGAATTGCTAGAACATGTGAGATATTTGGAGTAAAAACACTAGTTCTCGCAAATTTGGCTTGTGTAAAAGACAAGGAATTTCAGTGCCTCAGCGTATCTGCTGAGAAATGGATAAATGTGATACAGGTATTGGAATATTTTATTTCTACATTTCTGGACTTCTGAATCTTGAATCTGTATTTAAAAAAAGATGGAAATACTATCTTTTCGTATAATGCACAGATTTTGTTGGTTTCTTTTTTGTTTTTAATTTTCGTACAAAATATGATTTGCAAGTTCTTCATTTATCAAACTTATCGGTCACATAGATATTTTTAGAAAATATTACAGGATTTTAAAATCTGAAATTTTGCTTGTTTAGGTAAAACCACAAGAGTTACAGGAATACTTGATGCAAAAAAAGGACGAAGGGTGGTCTTTAATTGGCATTGAACAAACAGCTAATAGTACAAATCTACTGGAAACAAAATTTAACAGAAAAACAATTCTCATCTTAGGGTAAATAAATTTTGACTTGTGATGTGTTAGTTTGAGGCCTGTGTAATTAAAATGATAACTTTTGTAGGAATGAAAAGGATGGTATACCTGCCAATTTTATACCTCTTTTTGACATGTGTGTGGAAATACCTCAAGCAGGAATAACACGGTCATTGAATGTTCATGTTACTGCTGCGATTTGTATATGGCAATATGTGAACCAATATATGTTAAAATAATTGTTTTTTCAACTTTATACAAATAACAACATATAATGTAAATAAATTTTCAATAAAAGATTTACTATAACTTAATGATCATAATTATTGAAAAGGAAAGTCATCGATTTATATTTTAAACATGTATATTAGCAGGTCTATAATTTATACAGTATTATCTATGAGATTAAATTTGCAGCATACTTATACATCATATCCAACAATGTGCCGCTTTCCGATACATTCTCCGACAAAAAACCAGCAATATATTTCAGCAGCCACCAAAGTATTTATGACAGCTTCGCGTACAGTGACATCACGGTAGCGGCCAGTTCTTGCAGCCTGAATCAGCTTGGAAAAACCGCTACGAATCGCAGGAACATCTTTCAGCGTAGGTGGTGTCAGTTCTACCCTAGCATATTGCTGCCATACTTGCAACACAGGCCTTGCATGTGTAACACTGACTGCAATTAATATGCATTATTCAGTTTTGCTTAATTCTACAGTAAAGACAAAATCAAACTTCCTTCTGTGCTATCAAAAAAGACATAACCTCAGCGAAGGTGCACAAAATTAAATAATCAAAAAAGATATAATTCTATTAAAAAAAAAATTGATAAAAATCAATACCAAATATCTTTTCGTGAGATATGCATACGCAGATAAATATATCATAAAAATTTGACAAGAATTAAACGTTACATAATATACTGTACATGACTTAAAACAAATTTAATTTTTGTTTAAAATAATTACATAGAAAAAACCGTTTAACGCATACAAAAGCATACAAAAATTGTGCGTACGTTTTATCAATTCGGTGGTTTTTCCAACAAGTCCTGCCATCGTCTGTCTGTTTTATTCACTTCTGTCTGTTTTGCTCACCTTATTAGTTGTTCGACAGCAAAAAGGATTAGATAGGCTTAAGCCCAATTTACAATGTACTTTTTGATTTCTGTTTTCTGCTTTTTTGCCTTTAAGCAAAGGCATATTTTTCTTCGGAAATTTAGAAAAAAAAATTGGAATTTACGGTGTTTGAACTCCATGCGACGAACAGATAAAAAGCATTTTTTTCGTATTTTGCGGAAGGCAGAGAGCAAGAAATAATACGCAAGACGCACATTGTAGATCAGGCCTTATAGCGTTTTCGATTATACAGGATTTGAACGACCCAGGGTTGGTTAATGACGTCATTGCAACCTCTCCACCAATGAAAGACTTGCATTTATAGTAAAATAGTGATTGATCAACCCTGGGTCGTTCAAATCCTGTATAATCGAA